AAATTGCCTCATAATCAACTAAATAACTTTCATAATTAATTATTGATTGAATTTCTTAGATAATCAATAAAAAAAATTCATGATCGATTATAAGTCGGTTTAAAACATTTTGGGTCAATCAAAAGTTATTTTAGAATATCTTTTGAAAGTATATGAAGTATGAAAAAGAATTTTTAGTGTGTGTTTTTTTTTGTTATGGATCTGGTTTTAAATTGCAAACCACAACCGCAATTGCAGTCGCAATATTACTAATGTGATAGTCTTTACAACTGCATCGGGCTGTAATTATATTCTGATTTGAAATCATGCATCCCTCCATATTAGGAACCGCTTTAGACTATTCACCCAAATTTCTTCAAGTATTTTTGCCAAAACTTAAAATTTAGAATCCAAACTCATTGTACTTCTAAAAAATCTTAACATTAAGTGGTTTAATGATGTGTTTTAATCTCTTCTCAATCAAAATTTATGTCACAATAGCCACAATGTGCATCGCAACAACTGCAATTACCATAATCATAACACTCACAACCGTAAGGACATTCGTGACCGCAACCGCAATTTAAAACTATAATAATGACCTTATAACTTTGAGAGCGACACCTTTAAAATTATATTTTTGATCCTATAGAAAAATAAAACAATAGAGCACAACATCATAGAAAAGTTTTAACATATAAAATAGTTTCTTAATGATGTTTTTTTAGATTTTGATTCTTTTGAACCAAACATCAGAGAATTCTCATTTTTTTTATTTGATTCAAAATTTCTTCTTCACTTTATAATGTTTATAATATTTTTTTTATCCCTTTGTCATCGCCAATACATGTTATACTTGTTCATCACGTAGAATTACATTAGGCATAGTCTAGACATGAAACATGTGAGGCTAATAGTTGAAGTTGTTGATAAGTGGAAAGGAAAATTGTCATGTGATCCAAAATATAACCAAAGTAAGGGGAAAATAATTGATTCAAGGTGCTGGAAAGGAGAAATTCATTCACTTGATGAGTTATGAATAAAAGTTGTTAATATCAAATCTAAATGCAGGTACTCCATTTTACAAAAAGTACTGGTCCCAGGTACTGGTACGTATACGGTACGCGTCTATTACGTATCGAGATTGCACATTTTTTTTAAAGTCGGTAATCAGTGAGTACACATTGGACACTACAAAAAAATTGTTTGTTAGCACGTGATATTCACATAACAACGTGAAAAATCACGTCACAAATTGATTTTAGCGACGTGATTATTCACGCGGTATGAGCACGTGTGGCAACTTTGTTGCCACGTGATTTTCACGTCACAACAAAATAAAACGGAAGTTGAAGGCGTAGCAAAAAGGTGGCAGACATATGTAAGAATGTTGGCACGTGATATTCATATAACAAGTTGTGACGTGAATTTCACGTGAAAAGTTGCGGCGTGAATACCACGTGACTAAGTATTTTTTAATTAAAAAAACTGATTTATTTTATTACACGTTTAATAATAATAATTTATATTTTTAATTATAGTTCAATATATTTTAATTTATATATTATAGTTTAAAATTTTAATTATAGTTTGTTTTTTTTAATCATTTTAAAATACAAAATTAATAATACATTTTTTTAATAATAACTTAAATTGAAAAATTAATAAGTATAAATACCAAAAATTAATAAATATGAATAAATACCAAAATTAAGAATACAATTTTTAAATAAAAAGTGTATAATATACTAAAGTGTAATTAATATTTTACAAAAATGAAAAAAGTAGAATTAAAATAAATTCTTCGTATCAATCCGGATTGGGAAAGTCGTCAAGGTTAAAATCATCGTCATCGTCGTCATCCATCTGTTGTTGACCACCAACTCCTTCATTTTCAACAACTGGATTACCGCCACCTTGTGATTGCATAAATTACTGCATCATCTCCTCTATATCAGTTTGTCTCTTATTCATTGCCTCTATCTGACATTGTTGCTCTTCCATTAGAGCCTTTAGTGTCGAATCGCGTCTCGCCTCAATTAGCACCAGTTGTCTTACTGTTTCTAGCATTTCGGAGGTCAATTGTGGTGGATGTGACGTTCCTTCACCATCTCCAACTCTTTGAAATAGAGTTATGTCCCCTTTTCTCATACCATCGGCCAAAACTCTAGCACCAAATAAACATCCATTTGGTCCCTTTCCGCCAGTTACTAAATCCCAAATGTAAAAATCTACTTGTGGATTAAGCGGCTCGGAACCTCTTAGAGTATGCTGAGTATTTTCTACCAAAAATTGTGTGAGAAATACCTGATAATCCTCTTACACATACAATAAAAAAAATTAAGTTAAATATAACTTAAATGGTTTAAGTTAAGGATGAAGGTACTTACTGGTATGGGTAACTAGGTCCCCCAGTCTGCTGATATGGATAACTAGGGCCCCCAGATGGGCTAATAAAAGTTGGTCCCCTAGATGGGCTAATAAAAGCTAGAGCCCCATATGGGCTAATAAAAGTTGGAGCCCCATATGGACTAATAAAAGTTGTATACTCCTAAGGGGGGAGTAATGTCATGAAAGGGTGATAACTAGTCATTGACATAAGATCTACCCGACTCTGCGGGAGAGGACACGTGGCCGAATGAGGTGTCTGACATACTACTACTCTCGAATGTTGGGACTTCTTACCCTTACCTTTATTAGATCGGGGTGGCATTTTACCTATTTATAAAGAATACACATTTAATATATATTCATGAACAACATAAATATTAAATCTTAAAAAACACAATCACATAGATATATATTCATTAACACGTTCAATACAAGGTTTCATCAAGTTAAAGTACAAAAAAAATTATGCAAAATCTGCATGCTCTTCATCTATAGCATTATCATCATATGATGTGATACATCCTCAGATCCAAACTCTTCATGCTCGTCGTCCACTTCATTTTCATCCAACAATATAGATGCATCAACTTGATGCCCCTCAGCCATTGTATCAAACAAACTTGTAATTTTTTCAACTGCAATCACATCATTAATTTGTTCAACTTCATCAACTTGGTAAGCAACATCTTCCACTAGATCTCCAGTTTCAATATAACCCAATGGTTTTGTTTTGATTACAACAAACCACCCTCGTTTACGTGGTACAATTGAAGGATAAGGAACATAGTAAACTTGTCTAACAATATGTGATATTATGAAAGGGTCATACTCTTTGTACCTTCGGTCCATTCAAATCTCAAAATTACCATATGTCTTATCTATTTTTGTACCTCTGGCAGATGGATCGTACCAGTCATAATAAAACAAGATAACTTTATTTTCCGAGTCCAAGTAATTGTATACCGACTCGTAGATATGTTTAACAAATCCATAGAATTCGTCATCACCACCATCTATAACTCCTTTTACAAATACACCACTGTTATTGGTTTTTTTCCCTTCAGTCCATGTCTCTGTGAAATTTATATATGTTCACGAAGTATGTATGCCATTCATTTATGCTTTAAATATGGTCTTCAAACAAGTTTCTCAAATGGAGTATTTCTTGAGTCAGTGCAATAATGCGTGACAATTTCTCCTTGAACCATGCTGGAAAATAAGCATGTATGTGACCGGAGGTTGCTTGTACACTGGTGCTATGAAAGTAGGAGATGTTAAATTCCCTATAAGGAAACACACAATAAGTTTCAAGGTAGTAAGTTTTGTATTCATACTGTAAAGAATGCAAAACAATTGGTATATACTTATTCAAGATATGGTTTAACTTTAACGTAGTTAATTAAGTTATGAACATGTGTAGATTGCATTTTTTTCCTGGTTCAGCCAATGCACACCCTTCTTTCTAGAGGGAAGACCAGGAAGCCCAAAAACTGATAAGGTAAATTGACTTCTTTCGTTAACATTTACAGGATTTCTTATGATTCTTGGAGTTAACATCAAGTGATTGAAATAGTGACTGCAAAAATGAGATGTTTCTCGATGCAAGTAATGTGCACATATTGATCCTTTAACTTTAGCTTTATTTTTCATCGATCGCTTTGAATCACCCATGAACCTTTCAAAGGGATACATCCATATATATTGAACAGGGCCGCCAAGAAAAGCTTCATATGCAAGATGCACATATAGATGTTCCATAGAGTAAAAAAAAAACAGGTGGAAATACTTGTTCCAACTTACAGAGAATGACTGAAATATTTTAATCCAACTTAATGATGTCATCCACTCTTAAAGTTGACGTACAAATATCTCTAAAAAATGGAATAATCTCAATTAGTGGATTAAGCACATGATTGGATAGTGAATCAAACGCAATTGGAAGCAACCGTTCCATAAAAACATGGCAAATTTAAAGCATAACCATCGGGCATTCTCAATTCTTTTAACCATCGACAAACCACTTTAGCTTCTTGGGAAGTTAGACTGTAATTAGCCTTGGGTTTTAATAATTTTTCATTCGATTGACGTTTTAACTCCAACTCTTTTTGATTACACCAAATTTCCATGTCTTGTCTAGCCTTCTCATTGTTTTTATTTTTGTCTTTAACATCCATCCCTGTGTTAAATACATTATCAAAACAATTCTTCTCAATATGCATAAAATTATGGCGCAACAAATTATCTTTCCAATATGGGAGATCCCAAAATATACTTTTTTTGTCCAATTGTGTGTAACCCCGTATCCTTGAATTCTATATGCTTTCCAATATCGGTGAATTTTGGTAGTTCATAAACTTGGTTCCATACTTCACCTGGTCACAATCGAGGCTGAGGAAAATCTGTTACTTGTTCATCTTTTTTGAAATCAGTCTTGTTTCTTCTATAGGGATGATTTCTTGGTAGGACTCTACGGTGACAGTCAAACCATAAACTTTCCCCCCCCCCCCCTTTTTCCAACATAAACGTCTTGGTGTTCCCCATGCAATACAGACATCCCATTTTCCATGCGTACCCCATCCAGGCAATATGCCATATGCTGGAAAGTCTTTAATAGTCCACTTCAAGGCAACTCACATATTAAGGCTTTGTTTACTTGATATATCATAAGTCCATTCATCAATCCTTAACCTCTTTAAATCATCAATTAAAGATTGTAAGTACACATCGATACTGGCTTTTGGACTCGACGGTTCTGGAATGAGGCAGGTCAAAAACATGTATGGATTTGTCATGCATATCTCAGGAGAGAGGTTGTAAGGGGTTACAATAATTGGGCAACAAGAATATGCACTTTTAGACGCTTGGACATATGAATTAAAACCATAAGAGCATAATTCAAGCCTCACATTTCTAGGTTCTGCGGCAAAATCAGTATGTATGCGATCAAAGTGCTTCCATGCCTCACCATCAGATGGATGCCGCATAGTGCCTGAACTTGTTTTGTTTGTATGATTCCATGTCATTTGACTTGGACTGTGCATTGAAGCAAACATTCTTTTCAACTTTGGTATTATCGACGGATAAAACATGGACTTCACTACTACACGTTTTTTCTTCCGGTCAATGGCTTTACTACGAACTTTATATCTTGGACTCTTACAGAACTTACATTCCTCTAATGCTCAATCATTAGTACCAAACTCATTTTCATAAAACAACATGCAACCACTAATGCAACAATCAATCTTTCTTACTTCTAAACCCAACTTCGACACCAACCTCTTTGCATCATAAAAACTTGTAGGCAAGTTGTCTTTCGTAGGAGTCGCATTGAGCATCATTTTTATGAAAAATTACAAACACTGATCAGAAATGTTCCAATTTTGCTTGGCAGCCAATAATCTCACACACATTGATAACTTTGAGTCCAACGAACCCTCAAACAACGGCGTATTCATCTCATTCAACAACTGGCAAAATATTTGCGCTTCCTCATTCGGAAACTCTTCCCCATCAAAATCTTCAGGTTCGTCATAGGTCACGTTCACACCAAAAGCATCGCCCACCATCTCACTAATCAAATAAAAGTTTCCCCATGCTCCATCGGTGATCGACTACTTGAAGCATGCGTTTTACTGGTCTCTGGTACGCTAATCAGCAGTTCTTCTCCATTATATGTCAAAACCTAATAGTTTTCAATAAAACTCCTTCTCTTCAAATGACGTTCTAATTCCTCTGGGTCCTAATTATAGGTCTGGATTCACATTTAAGACAAGTACATCTAACTCCTCCTTCACTTCGGCAACATTCCTGAGAAAATGCCCACGTGATAAACCCTTTAACTCCCTCCTCAATATTTGGTTTGAGTCCGCGTCTTCCTGGATACAACCTATCATACATCCAACTACGATAGTACCTATAATATTCCATACTGCATGTTTATATAATTACTGTCTTTTTAATTACAAATATGATTTTAATATATCAACCAATTTCAAGAATTTTTATAAAATATTAACTACATGTATTAACTAGTTTAATATTATTCTTTAACATAAACTTATATTAACTAAAAATTACTTTTAATACAAACAAACTTTCTACTATTTTTTAATTATTCTTAATATATATAACTACAAATAAATTTCATACTATTTTGTTTTTAATAAACTTAAATAATAATTTCATACAATTTTCTTTTAACTAAACATTTAATAAACATATAACATAACATATAATACATATATACATATAATTAGTAAACATATAATATAACATAACGTAAAATGTATAACATATAATCATAACATATAACATGACATATAATACATGCATAACATATAATATTACATATTACATAATTAATATAACATATTTTATTTTTTATAAACTTATATAATAAATTCTTTAAGATAAATATAGGCAAAATACCCTTTTTCGTCCCTTAACTTTTGCTCGAGGTCCAGTCTGGTCCCTTAACTTTAAAAAGTGGCAAGTTGGTCCTCTAACTTTTAAAATGGTGTCAATTGAGTCCTCACTGTTGGTTGTCCCCAAGCGTCCGTTCATTTTATGTATGTGCAGATGACTTGGCAAGTTATCTTCTTCATGTTGTTTCCTTCTCCTTCCTCCTCCCATTCTCATACTGCAACTTAAAAAAAAAATCGCTCCTTCCTCCTTCCTAATCCCAAATCCCAAAATTAATCTAGGGTTTTTGTTTTTGGCAAGCATGAAATCTAGTTGTTCGTCCTCCATGTTGAAACAGGAAAGTCGAGATTCAGATGCTTGTAGTAGGTCACGATTGAAGCCCATATACCATTGTGGAGACATGATTGTTCTTCAAAGGGCAACTACTGTTAAGAATATGGAAAAAAAATCTGGGATTGTCCAAATTATAAGGTATGCAAGCTTTTTGAATTCTGGTAATAAATTATGTTTCTGTTTAAGTTTAAATTCATTCTTCGTCGTCCTCTAAACAATGAAAATTACAGGGAGGTATGCAAGCTGGGTGTGGTTTCTTTGGTTGATTTTATGAGGAGGTGGGTGATGAGAAAGAGCAATTTTGGATGCATAGGCTGGGTGTGGTAACTAAGGGACTTGCTGAAGCAAAAAAGGACATTGAAAAAGTGACAATAAAGAATGAAGAATTAGAGAAAAATTTGATGAAACTTGAAAGTGAAATGAAGAATATCATGAAGTGGAAAAAGATTTTGAATTTGATGTTTGTGAGGATTATCACTGTATTAGTTGTTAGAATTAGTTAGGGTATTAAGGTTTGTTTGGAAGTAGTATGTTATGGTTTGTTTGTAAGAATTAAGTTATCTTTTGGTTGTAAGAATTAGGTTTATGTTTAGTTAAAGTTTGTATCAGTTTTGGATTGTATCAGTTCAACATGAATGTAATAGTTGGATTCTAATCCTGCAGTGAATTTTAATTTTGCTTTTTGCAGTTCAACATGAATGTATCAGTTTTAGTTTTGGATTATATTAGTTCCACATGAATGTAATAGTTAAAGATTAGCTTGATTTTAACACACAATGATTTATAAGTTCTATTTGGCATGTTCTGTTTTTATGTTAACTTGGTCTCTTATAGACCTGTCAAAGTGTTTTTAACTTGGTCTGCATTGTTAAAGGTTATTTGGTATGTTCTATTTTTATGTTTACTTGGTTTGTTATAGACCTGTCAAAGTTGGTCTGCATTTTTTACACCACATTATGACAGGTCCATAAACATTATGACCTATAAATTGGTTCTGCTTTTAACATAAAGTTCATAACATGTCCATAAATAGGTTTTGCTTTTAACACAACTGATACATTTCATAACAAGTTTATTTCATAATAGGTCCACAAACTGATACACATGTTCCACAAAATACATAAATTCATTCCACACATGTTTCAAACAACAGCAGAATACATAAACTTATAATACACATATTCCAAACAACAACAAAAAACATAAACTAATTATACAACAAAATACATAATGTGATTCCACATGACATGATAGCCTAATCATATCTAGAGTTTCTTCTTTGGCGTGGTCCTCTTTGTTGGAGTAAACCTCCTTGTTAATGGGCTAACAACATTCTTGGAAGCACTCAACCTAGTTGTAGACCCAGGTGGTACAAAAGGTCTTGTTGGCTTCCTAACAGACAGCTTTTGTATCTTGCCCTTAGCAGGTCCATGTGTCTTCTGAGCAGCCTTTCCCTTAGAAGTCTGAGATGCTTGACTAGATTGTTGAGTAGAATTTCCCTTAGTAGTGTGTGTTGTTATGTTCTGATAGGGCTGGCTTGGTTATTGAGTAGGCTGAGTTGTTGGAGTAGGAGTGTGTTGGGCTAATTGTTGAGCAGTCTGAGTTGGAGTATGAAAGGATTGGGCTGATTGTTGAGTAATCTGAGTTGTTGTGTCCTTACATGTAAACTTGTAGTGTCCTGCTTTCTTACATCTACTACACATCACCACAAAACTTATTCTTCTCAATTTTCAATCAGACCCATCAATTTTACCTTGTTCTAGGTTCCTCCTCTTCTTAGGTCTACCAAGCATCTTCCTGAACTTGGGTGGTTGCACATCTGGATATGGTGTCTTAACCCACAAGTTTGATCCATTAACAGGGTAGATCACATACTTATAAATTGCCTTGTACCTTGAAACCCTATAATAATTTGGAACGTAAGTATCAATTTTGAAATTCCTACTCTTTATAGCAGACAAAACATGAACACATGGTAGTCTTGTAAGTTCCCATCTTCTGCATGAACATATATGATCTTTCAGGTTCACAACAAATTTGCCAGTTTGATTTTCCAAGTGCCTTACTTTAAATATATGTTCATAAGACATCATAAATAATTAAGCAAACAGAATATATTAGTCACATGTATGTTATAGACATCCTAAAGAATTAATGTATGCTGATATTACATACCTTACTAGCCAGTTGTTGGTGTAAGTGCTTGTGACATCAAGTTTCTTTCTAATATTGGGCAATATATCATTATCATCCAAAGTACCAAATCTCATTCTGTTATTTGTCCATCTCTCCATCATGTATATTCTGATGTCTCCCAACATAGTGATTAGAGATTTTGCCCTTGCGTCAAGAATGACACTATTAAAGGATTCAGACATGTTGTTGAGAACAACATCACATTTGTTTTCAGTCCTAAAGTAAGATCTACTCCAAAACCTTGATGGGATCTTCATCATATGTTTAAATGCTTCTTCATTGATGGGCCTCACTCCCTTCATCTCTTTTTCCCATGCCTGTGGGTGTGTTGACTTGGCAGCTTTCCATATTATGTCCTTCAACATCTTTCCAGAAAACTATTTCCTAAAATCGTTATAGAGGTGCCTAACACAAAACCCGTGTTCCACCCTTGGCAATAGCCCATCCATAATAGGTAGCAGATCATGCAATAGCATAACATACAATGTAGCATAACAATATAGCATAACATACAGTTAGTATAACAGGAATAGCCTAATAGAAACACATAAAACCATAAGAGTAAATGAAAAACTTGCCTTTTGTTGGTCTGAGATGAAGGTGTAAGTCAGGCATTCATCTTTGCCTCTAAGGTCATCAATTAATAGCTCTAAAAACCAACTCCATCTATCCTTGTTTTCACTCTTCACAACTACATATGCTATGAGAAGCATCTGGTCATTAGGATCCCTTCCAATGGAAGCCAGAATTTGCCCTCCATACAACCCCTTCAGAAAACACCCATATAGACATATTACATGCCTTCACAACTTAAATCTTTCCTTACGCGCAGCATAGCATATGTAACGCCTTCTAAAATATGGTCTTTCATCTTCAACACCTTTTTGTACAGGCTCAACATTGAGATTAACTGTTGACCTTGGATTGGCTTTTAACAGTTCATGATAGTAGTCATAGACCCTTGTGTAATCTCCCAAAAAAGAACCATCAACATAATCTCTAGCTGCAAATCTTGCTCTTATAGCTTTGGTTTTATTGACCCCAACATTCCACTTTTTTTATTCCTTCTTCTTAATATCCTTTATACTCAACCTTGGATTATTTTTCAAGTTATTTTGAATTATTTTACTCAACCACTTTGTACTCATCAGCTTCACATTATACTCTCTACTACAACTGTGTTTGTCAATTACTTTCCTGAGTTGCCAAGTGTCTTCATTTGACAACTTGCTACAATAAGCCTTCCACTCACAACCAACTTTACATCTAACCCTTACCCTAACTTTGTCATATTTTACAAACCTTAGGTCTCTACCATTTTGCACAACATAAGTTGTTATTGCTTCCCTAAAATCACCTTTTGAACTAAAGTACATTCCCACGTCCCACTTGAAATCTGACATGTCTTTTGGCAGTCAGAAAATTGGATGTTTTTTTCTTAGAACTCCACTACTATCATCATTGTCACAGCCACTTTGCATGTCCTCACTATCATTGTCACTCCCTTTATCTTCTAAAGACTTATCATTAAGTTCTTGGACTTCTCCATTACCATTATTTTCATGACCAATTAGGGTGTCAAGTTTATCCTCCTCAATCTCATCACACCCATCAGACTCATCCTCAAAAGCCACATCTTGTGCACTATCATAATTGTAGTCTTTGTCTTCACTATCATCAGAAGATAAACTTAAGTCATCATTCATTGCAGGTTTACCTTTTTCAACTCTAACATTACCTTCTTCCCCTATAGGGTTCCCTTGTTCAACTCCAACATTAATTTCCTCAACTCCAACAATATGTTCATCCACTGCAGGATTCCCTTGATCAACTCCAATATTACCTTCCTCCAACTCAGCAGTGGCTTGATCAACTCTAACATCACCTTCCTCCATCACAACAGTGGTTTGTTCAACTTCCACAACTTCATAATGCAGTTGACTAAGTAATTCCTCCACCTCATCTAAATTTCTGCAGGGTCCTCATCAACTTCATCAACAACAATATCACAGTAGTCAGGTTGAGACAAGGTGTGTTCAATATAAATATCAACATTTTGGTGCACCCTATAAAGATCTGTTGTTTCTAAAGCACCATTGTCATCAACAAGTGCATTCATCCCAAATTAAGAGTCCTTGTAAAATATTGTTTCAAACTCCCTATAACCCAAGTCTTTCAATACACCAACTAGCTCAAAATAACTCCATTTGTCTACATCTACTCTCAAATCATCTACTACTCCATTCTCATATACACTACGACCTTCATCGATGAACTCACCACTATGATGAATTTTAAGAGTTATGTATTCATCCATGATACCTAATCATATCATCTAAATAATTAGAGTTTACACTAAAAAATTTACATAAACCTTAAATCTGAACCTCTAACAGATATTGCCCTATGAGATTCGTAAACCCTAAATCAGAGAGAAATGAATTAACCTTTTGATAATGTCTCCTTGAATCGTCTTCAATCCTCCGCCCTCAATCTTTCGCGTCTTCAATCCTTTGTGTCTTCAATCCTTGAATCATCTTCAATGATTTATTGAGTTTACTGTGCAAACGTTTTATCTTCTGGGTAATGGAAACCAAGGTCAAAGGAGATTTGTTTTAAGACATTTCATATCCACGTCAGCAACATCAAGTCTACCTGGACAAACGTGTCACTTTTTTCAAACTTTGACTAACAGTAACAAACAGAAGGATAAACGTGACACCATTTTAAAAGTTAGAGGATCAACTTGACACTTTTTTAAGTTAAGGGATGAAAAATATTATTTTGTCATATATATAAAAAAAAATTTCAGTTTAACTATACATTTAATAAACATAACATAAGATATATCTAACACTAGGAAAAAAATTGTTTTATAAAAAAAAACTATTTCACACCATTTTGGTTTTAAAGTTTAATGTTTAAAAATTAAAATTTTATAAATATTTACATATTAATATATATAATATGTTTTGAAAAAAAAAATTAAAACAAAAAATAAATTATTTATAATTTTGTTTTAATAAAAAAAATACTATATTTCGTTTTAAATAAACATAATAAATAATTTTTCGTTTACAATCTATACATATTAATAACATATTTTAAATATAAAAAAACATAATATTTAAACAACAACCAACAATCCAATTAATATATCAAACTAAAAATAAATTTAACTAACAAAAATACATATTCTTCAAACTCCTTCAATCTTCTTGTTCAAATATCTTCTTCAATCTTCTTATTTAATTCTTCTTTCTAACCATTTTAATATTTTGATAGAAAAAAAATTGAACATAAATTAAAGTCAGAAAACCTAATACATTAAACGAAATTATTAAAAAAATTGAAGAAAAATCATAGAAGAAAAATTACCTTTGAAACAACTAGAAATTGGAAAGAAAAATTGGTATGAGATGAAGAAGAAGATTAGTATAAGATGAAGAAGAAGATTGAGAATGAGTAGAGACAGAGAAAGAAAAAGAATAAGCAAATACGAAAAAATATTAAGTGTGGTTTGGAAAAAAAGAGATAACGTGTGGGTTGTGATTTGAATTATGATTCAAATTAATTACGTCTTGCCAAGTAAACTTAGGACTAACCCTTAGGTCTTTTAGGTCACTTCATCTCTTAGCTCAATATATATTAAAGCAGATAATAAAATAAAAAAGCATACAATAAACAAAAGGTTCCTGTAGAGTACTACAGAAGTTTATGGTGCTAGTATCTTTCCTAAGCTTAACCAACCCTTTACCAAGGTCTCTCCCCGCATTGTGTTTACGATGCAAAAATATGTTTTCCCTCTTTTGACCTTTTCCTTCGGATAAATCAAAGTCGGTTGTGAATTAAGAATTGTGATTCAAACTAATTAATAGTTTGATATCCTATTTCCACCACAATAGTGTGTCTCTATATAATCTCGTCAACGACGTGAATCTCACGTCGCAACCTTACCACGTGATACTTACGTCGCAAAACCTAACATTTAAATTTTAAAAATCAATGATAATAACGTAGCGAAGTAATAATGACGTCACGACTTTGCCACTTGTTATTCACGTTGCAAAAGTTCCAACGGTCATAACCTTTTGTCAGTCAACCTGCACCCCCAGTACCCCATCATTTCAACGTCAGGACGTGATATTCACATCACAACCAAAATTTTGAAAATTTGAAATTTCCCTCTTTAGTAAGTCTGACCCTTTTAATTTTTTTTTTTAATTTAAACGTTGCAACGTGATTTTCACGCCACAATCTTTTTTTAAAAAAAAATCTGACACACCATGTGCTAACATTACACTTATTATTTTAATATTAAAAATGTTAGTGACGTGATAAACATGTCGCAACTGTCCATTTTTTGCCACATGTTTTTCACTTCACTAAATCACATGGCATGGGACAATATTTTTTGTAGTGGGATACACATTGGATACGCTAATTCAATGTTTTTTCTAATGGGATAAAGGGATAACTTATCAATTTTCAATCCTTAAACTTCAATCTATTGCATTAAAACTCCTTTCACATTCAAGCTCTTCATCTTCTACTGAAATAAATTGGAGCATTCGATCATTGAAAAGGAACATGTTCAATATATTAAAAAAATTGAAGATTTAATTTTTGCTCATATAAATAGTTGTCTTCTCTCGATAAAGAGTATGGTTTATAATGAATGAGCACATAAATGTAGGATATAGGTGAAAATGAATTGAATCTATTTGATGGAGTTGATATTTTTGAAGTTGCTAGTCTATCTTTCGATGAACCAGAACTAGAAATCGCTCTTTTAATAATGTTGGAGAGGAAATATAAATATTCGGTCATAATTCTATGATTTATTGATTGATTCTTTTTGAGTAAATTATTTTTTAATTTTAATATTTTGTTATCATTTAAACAATATAATTTATTTTTTATTTTTATAATTATATTTATAAAAAAATTATATTTTTAAAATATCGTGTATTAGTACCCGCACCAGGTATCAGGTCCGTAGTCGTACCTTTGCAATGCTGGTTTTTGGACAATGCTTAGTGTTCAATGCAAGCTATGTGTTTTAGAGTATTTATATATGTTTAGAGGCATGCAATGCTCTATTTCCACATTCATATCAGGCTCTCTCGTAGGATTAAATGCATGTTTCTTTTAAAGGTGATTATGGAAATCAATTGATAGACATGTTGTAAAAAATGAAAATAACCAGATATTTCACATTATTTATATTGTTCTAGATGTAGAGACTGAATTCATGGGAGTGGTTCCTTTACTTACTTCTTTATGATTTACAGTTTTACACCATAATTTCATACCATTTAAAGGTATAATTTCATTTACTTCATTTCATTTGACTCATTTTATCGTTAATTTACTTCATTTGGATTGACTTTTTTTACTTTTTATATGCCAGAGTCTAGTGCCTACAGTTCAAAGTATTATTGTTCATATGAAGTCAATATTTTGTATGAATCATCTATATCATAATTGGAAGAAACTATATTGAATTAGAACTAAAATAAGTGATGTGGCTAGCAGAAAGGGTTACAACAATACCCACAAAGGGGACGAAAATGCAAAGGATGAAGACTTTGAATGAACTTGCTTGGAAATAGATATCACTTCACTTCATTTACATACCATGGTCCATTTCACTCATTCTTTGCTAAACGCAATGTAGATAATTTATTCTTGCTAAAAGCAATGCATTATTCAATCAAGGATTATGCAAAAGACTTAAGCATCTTATTCCTCTGTTATCACCACTACAATTCATTATTTATCACACTGAATGTTCAACTTCAAGAAAAGCAACAGTGCATACAAAAGTGGCAGGCCTAACACTAACTATGAAAACTTGCCTGACACTTTGCTCAGTCTTTTTGTTTTCTTTTTTCTGCAATATCTTTGTGGGATTAATACATTTGAAGGTGTTTCATCACTTTTATCAGCTGCAGCAGTTGGATTAACAGCATCAACATCACTTTTATCAGCTGCAGCAGTTGGATTAACAGCATCAACATCGCGGGGAGTAGATTCTGATGGTCCGCCAGAGGACTCGGCAACTGGAACTTCCTTTTTAATAGTTCCCACCTTAACATACTTCTCCATAAACTTGTATTCCCAGTCTTGTAACGCATCGAGCTCAAATGGGCCAAGACCAGAAATATCACCAGTCAGATCTTTCTCATCAAAAGACATTTTTGCTAAAGCTCTACTAGCATCCTTGCCAGCAAATAAAGCATAAGGACCGCCGGGCCCATAGAACATCCTGGAACAACACTCTATTAAGTTACATTGAAAGAAATATAACCTCATATATCACAACTTAGAGTGATCGTGTTATCAAGCAAAATCATGTATCACTTCAGTTTCTTGGAATTTGACATTTAGTGTTTTTGGTTTTGCAGGGACAAAAAATGGTTTTGATAAACTAATTTGAGCTAAAAGTGAGTTGAATGGAAATGTGGTTTGTTTGAATACATTTTTGGTTTTGTGGTACAAAATATTAGGGGTGGCATAGCATGTCCGTCCAGATTAGACCCGACCTGCAAAAACCAGCAAGAAAATGGTGCAGGAAGGGCGGGCATAGTTGCAGGCACAGGTCTAAAACCTTCTCCCGTCACCATGAAAAAATGAGAGGCAAAAGACCGCAACTATGTAACCAATCCTGGGAACAACACAAATTCCATCCAAACATCTTAAAACCATACCTACATCTTTGAAGTCAATAGTCTCTCAAATCTAAAAGTAGTTATAACAGACCAAAATAATCTTTTAGAAGTGTAATGAAAAACTCAAAATTAACGATCACCTAGACAATAGGGTATCAGAAAAATGAAATTTAATAGAGAATCAGAGAAAAAGGGTTATGCTAAACCTGCTCTGGGAGACATCATAGATCTGACCCTTAATTGCCATGAGCAATGGCTTATCGTGATCGTTGCCATCGTAGCCCTTGAGCTCTTCTTCGGTGAGTTCGCCTAGCTGAACGGGTGGTCTGAGAGGGGGAACTTCTGCTTGGATGTGGCGAGTTTGGTGGTGACGGTCGGAGGAGGAGGAGCCAAAGAGACCGGAAACGATGTAGAAAAGGGCAAATAGAATCGCCAAAATAGTGAAGAAAGTGGCCGGAGAGAGACCGGTGAAGGCGAAGATGACCTCCTTTTGGGCCTCCCACCACAGCTGAAAGCTGCCCATCACTCGGTGGTAGAGAGAGAGAGAGGAACAACAAACTGTAGACAGAGAAACGTTGAAGCTATATCTATAATATTTATATTCGGGGAATTCTTAATTATGTATAAATATTTATTTATTGATTTTAAGAATTTAATTAATTTTTTTTTTTTTGATAATCTAAGGAATGAATTAAGACAGGGCATAAGGGGTGTCTTACCTTTCTACAATAAAATTCAGCAACAAAGACAAACAAAAACAAATTAGGATGAGATCGCTATCCAATTAAATAAATATATGGATTGTTTCGCCAACTATTAGATCCACCACAATAACAAATTAGGATGAGATCGTTATCCAATTAAATAAATATATGGATTGTTTTGCCAACTATTAGATCCATCACAATCTAACCATTAAATTTGGCCAACAACTATTTTCTAGAAACTCTAGAAACTAAAATAATGGTCTTCAAAATGTCTATCTCCTCCAATCTTTCTTCTTCAAAAAATGATATTATTTCTCGAATTCCATAATGTCCAACAAACGACAAGTCAAAGACAACAATATAACTCAACCTTAAACTTACTTAAAAAGAACTTCTTGAAATGTAAAAATATTGTTAGTTAACGATAAATGTTCGCCACAAAAATCAATACCAAGCCACTGGCAAAGTTGTTCTCAAATCAGAATGGTAATATCACAGTAGTAGAGGAGGTGGAATAGAGATTCGTCGACATTAAAACAACACGGACAAACGAAATCATTAAAAATAATACCTATTTTTTCTAAATTCAGCTTTGTGGGAAGTCTATTCAACAAGCATCTCCATCCAAAGAATTGGATATTACTCGACGTCTTTGATCTCTAAATATCCGTTAATCCTTTATGAACTAAGTCATCTGCTTCTGTATGCTCCGTAACAGCCTTTGTTAATAGATTGTAACAACTTGCCGTCGAAAAACCCTTTATATTCAACTTCCAAATAAACAGGTCATCTTCGTTACGGTTAGGCTGCACGTTCTGAAGTTGCTGCAGTAACTGTGAATATTGTTCTACAAGCTGGTCGGACAACACAATGTTGTTGTCCAGAAGCTTCCACAACCAACATTCTCCAACCCACTCACCCATCTTCAGATTGTTAACTGGACCAGACTTGTACTGATGAAATAACTCTGGAAAAATTGTGGCAAATGAGTCTGAACCTAGCCATGTATGATGCCAAAAGTCAATAGTATCTTCACTTCAAGCTTCCTGTAACACCCCGTTTCCCAAATTAAGTAAATAATAAAATAAATGCCAATTAAAATCAAAACAATTATCAGAGTTGTCACACCAAAACGGGATATCACAAAAGAGAATTCAACAAAATACTCCATTAAATAAATTCAACAATTAACAGCGGAAAATGTCACACACACACACACACACACACACACACACACATATATATATATATACATCATGTACATCATGCTCGGCCATCTGCCCAAAATATACAAAACATCAACAAAAGTTCCATCGAAACATGATACGACACGGAGTAAAAACAAAATCATCAGCTAAACAATAAACTCCCCAAAGCCCCGTGTTACGTATTAGAGCATCCCTACGACTCGACTCGCCACTATCCAAGTTAGCTACGCACCTGGATTATCTGTACTTCCGAAGAATCACAGACCACAACAACAACAAGAAGGGGTGAGAAATCACGATCAAAAATATAGCAGTAATAATGTACATGAATAAAAGGCAGCAATCATATGAATATCATTCAACATACATCATCCAGGACCTACTGTCCAACACCAACACATCACACTAGACAATGCAAAAATATGCAACTCAATACCATGATATGCGGTACTGACTCAACAACAACGATGGACACCGAGCCATCAACCCTCCACAAGGGAGCACCGGATGAATCACATACACTTCATCCTAGCAACGACTCATCCCACCATTCTCCACACAGGAGTACGGTTGGATCACTTACGCTCCATCCAAGACATGATCCAACCCCACCATCCTCCACAAAGGAGTATGGATGGATCACTTACGCTCCATCCGAGACATGATCCATCCCACCATTCTCCACACAGGAGTACGGGTGAATCACTTACGCTCCATCTGAGACATGATTCAACCCCACCAAAACATCATGATATGCACGACACTAATGCACAACAACAATTCAAGCACACAAGGTGCACATGATCCTCCTGATCACATTTTATACATAGCACATACATATTCACATACACCAATTGAATTATTCTAATTAAACGGATAACACGGAAATCACATTCCAACATCACACATACACTCATAACTGTTCAACACCAATCTCACATTTAATCATGACCAACAAGGGTCCCACAACACAAGAGAACAGAACAGAACAGCACAAAAACACAAACTAATGTCATGCTCGCTGGCTCATTCGCCTAGCAAAGCATCGGCGAATGCTCGCTATTCGCTCGCCTAGCGAAAGTGCTGGCGAATGTCTGCGACTTCACAAAAACCCCACTGTTCAGAATCGGCAATACTCTCCAAAATTGTCCGATTTTACTCAAACCAGTTCCCACGGCACTAGTTCAACATTCTGCAACTTAGCTACATAATCTAATCTCAATTCCACCCGATAAAACCCCAGCTCTATCAATTAACTCAATTTCGGCTTAAATTGGTAAACTACCGAAAATCCCAAAACATTCAAACAACCACATGCAACAAACCTATCTTACCATCAACAAATTCAGGATTTCAATAACATATCAAGCATGATCATCAATCTACCATGGGATTGGGGAAAATCCCTCTACCTAGAATTCATGCAATATACCGATTTCGACCCGTTTCTCCCCCCCTCCCCCTCCCCCCTTACCTCGATAACTCGATCAAGCTGATGAAGAATCTGAAAAATGTTAAACTTGGCTTCCCTTCTTCCTCCTCCTTGATTCTCCTCTTCAATTTCTCTCTTCCACTTGAACTTGCTCTTCTTCTTCCCTTTCTATCGTATTTTCTTCTTCCTTTCTTTCCAACTCACCAAAAATACCCCTTCCTATTTTCTTATTCCTTATTAATAATAATAATAATAATAATAGTATTAATAATAATAATAATAATAATAATAATAATAATATTACCATTATCTATTAAATTATTATCACTAATAATTATATTATTACTATCAAAGTCCAAAGTTAGTAACCAATCTCCATACTTAAGGGCACTTATTATCGCACTCAAACACACTCCCCACAAAAAGGCACACCGAAATTAAAATAACACCGAAAAAGACTAGATAATTAGAATGGGTGTTACACTTCCCACGAAGGGATTCTTTGAACCAGTTTACATCCATATTAAAAATCATTCCAATGCCTCTAATACCTCTCCACCATAACGAATGTTTACACATCATCGTCGTTGTATCTCGAGAATTTAACAGGATGTGACTTTGCAGGGATCCATACCTTGCTTTTAATAACCAAGACCACAAGCAATTTTTGTTTACCAATATCCTCCATGGCCATTTATTAAGTAGTGCAACGTTGAATCTTCCGACATGTTTAACCTCGAGTCCCCCTTTCTTTTTGGTCTTGTAAATAACATCCCATCTTATCTAAGAAACCTTTTTATCCCTCCCCCTCCAAAGAAAACTCTGTTGGATAGAATTTAATTGATATGCCACTCACGGTGTCAGATAATCACAACTTTGATTTATTTAAAAGATTTAAATTTAATTTTAACTATTTAAAAAGTAATATCAATGGATAATTGTGATGCATTGACAATATAAAACTTTTTACACTAACCGTGCATAACAATTAATCTCTAATTTAAATACATTTTAATCTCATTCTTTGACAATTTTTAATTTTTAGTCTCTATTTCATAAATCATCTTTTTGACCCTGAATTTTATATTATTTAGAAATTAAATGATCCCCTCCAATTTTATATATGTGATGATGATTAAAAAATTAATAAAATGGATTTGATAACTAGGATAATAAATTTATTAATACTATTTTAATTAATAAAATTATTTATTTAATTAAGGTCTTTTATATAATAGTTTGAAATTATTTAATTTAAATTTTAAAACAATGTTTTCGGGTCTAGGTCCATTCTATTCTTTGTTTGCTGCCAATGATATCCATCAGTTCCTGTATGTTTTAAGATTGAGATTCACATTCACACCATAATGATGATGAGATTGTAAAGATTCTTCATGTTAGTGACAGGTTAAAAAAAATTGGAGTATTTGAATCTGGATTTTTGCCAGATTGGCAATGAATGGCTTGCGAATTTGACAGGTTTATTGCAAAGTTTTACATTTTCCTTTCCTAGATTTTAATGTTTGTTACATTGTTTAAAACTATATAATTGTTATACTTCTTCAATGTTCCTTCTGAGCAAGGTTTCAATAGATTTGAAATGGGATCAACTTTTCCTTGACCTTGCAATGCTAGGAGTTTTTTAGCACCAAGTTTCCTTTAGATTTGTGATTATATATGGAATTACACCTTGTTGTCATTTTCAGTTGAACGACGTTAACTTCTCACACTTTCTTGGTCAATTAATATGGGATGGAATGGTTATGTCTGGTGGTTTTTATTTGTTCTATCATAATGTTATCTTCAAGGAGGAAGGTTATGTTACTTTTGAAAATCTAATGAGGTTTTAGGTTTTCGGTATTTGGATTGGAAGTATTGCAGTATGAAATTTACAATTATTATTTTACCAGGCCTCACTCTCTTGAAACCATCTACAAGATTTTTGATGTTTGATTGGGATGCAGTGCATGATTTAACACTAATCATTCTAATGGTTTCTGCATTAACTTATATGTGTTGTTGATGAATAAGTCCATATTATATTTATTACAATTAATTTTAGTGTTTATGTAGTTTGCAATAGGAATTAATTTTAGTGTTTATATTTTGCATTAGGACGCTTAAATGAACATTAGTGGGTTGGATAACTATTGCAAAATCATGGGCTCAAAGCTCA